AATTTAACCCCCATAAATACATTATGAGACACAGAGCCTTCACCATTTAATTTTCACAAATAAATTACCCATAAAGAAGACAACAGGCTACAATCCAGTTAAGGCCAGACATCTTTAAAGCTTTTACGATCTTCTTGATTTCAACAGAAGATAACTAATCTTTGAGGTTAGCAGAGCCAAAGGAGTGGTAATGCAGAGATGAACAGGAGACCTATGCATTTCTGACTCAGAAGAACTAAGTGTGGGTAATTTACCTATTACTAATTGGTAATAGTAAACAAGCTTGTTTAGCCTATGTTTTAGCTCTGAGTAAGACCGTGGCCATAAAGCAGATTCTCTGCATGCTTAGTACAAAAGGAAAACCTACTGTGTTCATTGGGACATCTGGCAAGTAATATGTATAGCATTCTAATATTCATCTTCAGAATTAAGGCTGGTTCCATATTTAACAACTATCAGTTCTCTATATTATTGTTACTGTACTGGTGGAATTAGGATTTCAGTTTAGACTGTACATATACTAATTTTCATCCCCATACATTTTCAGTTCTTTGATGAATAAATATTTTGTACAGAACATATAGAATTGAGAATGTTAAAAATAAGAAATATATGTTTTTCTATATATATGTAAGTTCCAGCAATATGCAAGTTCCAACAATATTTTACATTCAAAGATTCATTATACATTTAGTATTCAAAAGATGTTCTAAAAATCATGTACACTGTACACAGTTTCTTGCTGAAATTCAATCTTTTCCCAAAGATACATAAATTGGATCTTTTTTTTAAAAATTACCATTTCCTCTGCCAACAATCTACTGTTTTTAAAATGGTTTGTTGAACATTCATTATTTATTGGAAAAAAGCATGGGTTAGAAATCTAACCCACATAGGCTAATATCAGCGAGGATTTAGCCATTTCATGATTGGAGAATGAATGTCTTTTTCCTTCACAAAATCCTCTTCTACCGAATTACCATCACCAGATCCCATGTCATTCTCTGAAAGTTTAAAAGAGAAAAAGGGGGTATTAGACTTTTTTAAATCAAGATACAGATTTTCAACTATCTTTTCATCTGAATCAATAAAAACTTTAAATATCATGTCCATTCTCAATGCATGGTGATGATCATGTGACCTGAATCATGGGAATTTGATTTTACGTTTACTGATGTAATTTCAGTTATAATTTTTCAAGTAAGAGAGATGTAAACGTGAATATCTCTATAGAACAAATTAGCAATGACATAAATCTCCCAGATTTTCCATAAGAACCAAATTATTAATATTCAATTCTTCAATGAAATATTTAACTAAAATAATCAGATTTTTAAAAATTGATTATGTACCATCAAGTCATTGTCAACTCTTACCCACCACATAGATCTTCAATCCATGTGGTTTTCTTGTTAAAAATATAGGAGTGGTTTACATTGCCTTCGCCCGCATAGTATGAATGGATACCTTTGGCATTGTCATTAAAGTGATCATTCGCCTCCAGCATCTTCCTATATCACTGTTGCCCAATATAGCTTTAGCTGGGCAGGTGGGACACCTTGGGCAACCCTACTGGGAATATATACTCTTGGCATACACTCCTGGCATTCTTTGCTTATCTCTCCCAGGAACATCCTGCCCCCCAATGAGTCAGCATAGCAGAAGTTGGGGGGCCAGGGGAATAATCAGGGAAGGATTAATCAGTAATCAAATTACCGTTGATTACAACAACAGTAATTACTCTTATTAGTAGAGCACCATGACTTATGACTATTAATTTTCAACACTCTTCTCTATATGCATTTACTGAACTCTGAGCCAATAAATAAGTACTGAGGTCAAATATTTCTTTAAGCAAAGCATCTCATGTTTGCTATCTACAGAGAAGTTCTCTGGGGTACATATAATACAATTGTGGTGCACAGCTCAATTAATTTAATACAATTTGAAAAGGAGAATGCCCTTGGCATGGACACATCTTCTAATGCTTTATATCTTTAAGAAATGTACACAATTAGATTTACCTGCAGGTGGCAGTAATTTTCGTTGGTGGGGAGGTTTCGATGCAGCCAATTGGAAAAAAGAAAACTTTACACACTTCCCAGTTACTCTGTCACATATGCCAGAGGGACAGCTGCAAATTCTTAGGCAATCTAACCCATAAGTACCATACGGACACTCTGCAAGATAAAACATTAGAAAGCAATAGACCTATTACTATACTTTAATCTTGTGTTATATTGTGGAAGTTTTTTGCTCTATCTTAGCATTTTGCAAGCCACCATGAGTCTAGAAGATTCAGCAGCATACAAATTTGATAATTAATAAATTAATTAAATAGAATGTTATGAATGCAATCCTAAATATAATTTTTTACGTTTATTCTCTTTGAATTTACTGAATAGGCATGTATACTATGGAACTAAATCCCAGTGACTATAACACTGCCTTCATCTAAGTAATATGCAGAGGATTCACTGAATCACAAACATGCACAATTTTTACAAAGTATTCCATTATTTCACAATTAATTTTATTTCAGTTTAATCAGAAGTAAGCCCCATTGGGTTCAATAGAGCTTGTTCTTGGCTAGTCTAAGATTTCACCTCTTCATTTAAGGCCGCTTTCCCTCAAAATAGTGCTTGTTAGAAATATTGGACCATAATTTCCAGAAATCCTGGGGACCAATTTACCTAGGAATTGTGTGAGTTGTGTTGCCATGCAAGCGGAGAATGCCAAATGAGGAAGACTGGTTTCAGGTCTTCATCATATAATAACGTGAACATTCATTATAGCAGTATTCATACATTTATCTTCCTATATTTTTCAACACTGTAAATAAATCATCTTTATTCCTTGAAAAATTCTGTGAATATGTTCTTTTCCACTGTATATTGTTCTTCATTTCCAAGAGGCTAATCCTAGATTTCAGCCTTTTAAAATACAAATTTGGGAGGAGTTGATAAAGTTGGCTAGATATAAAAATGGCTCACATCAATCAGTACAAAGAGTAGTGCTATTATCCAAATTATCCCTCTTTATTTCCTTTTCACTTGAAGGTTTGTTTGTGCATAGTGATGTTAGAACAATCCCAATGGACCCAGAACTGTATTAATATTGAAATAGCAGGGAAAAATAAATTAAGCTTGAGACAATAACATACTCCTTGTTTTCACATGGCATACCCATGTTTGAATGTGCATTATCTTCAAAGAAGATACAATCCTTTCCTACAATGAGCTGGAAGAAGCTTTGGATATTATTTAATCCAGTCTTCCCGTGATGCAGAAATCTGCTGCTATGGCAGTCTTTGCTCACTTCTAAACAGCCTCTGCTTAAAACCTCTACAAAGGAGTATCTATCACCTTTGAAGACAGCTTTTTTCTGATTTCAGACTGTTGATATCACCAAGAAGGTCTCCATAAATGTTTTGCTAGTACAAAAATAAGGGGCAAAGTCTCTTTAATGAAGCTGTTTGCTACATCTGTGTCATGACACACATAAACAAAGGCTTGGATCAGAAGATCGTGGCTGCCATCTTTACATTCCCCCCCCCGCCCCCATGGACCCCATGGATGCCTGTGCTGTTCATTTAAATTTTTAAAAAGCCAAAACATTAGAACAAATTTTTAAAAAGAAAAAAATAGTCTTTGTAATATTTACAAGAGCAATTTTTCAATAAAAGAAAATCAGTCTAATGTAAAATGTGATTTACAACCTAATCCTGAATGGGACTGGGCAAATAGGCACCAGTGCCAGTATTTTACAGGGCCAACCCAGCAGAGGGATTTGGGGAGCCTTGGCAAATCGTTACTTATCTGATGCATTATTATGGTACTTGCTAAACTAATTTAGCTAAATTTGAGAACTCTGCACCTTGGCTTTGGAATGTAAGAAAGACAGAACTTTCTGCTTCACCTCAGGATCCAAAATATATGTATGTATTACAAAAATGTCTGTCCTCCCCATTTAGTTGATTTTAGAAGTTTGAAACGGCCTGTCTAGAACTTAGCCTTTTTTTCTAACAAATTGAAATTTCTGTAGCAGGGTGGGGGGGTTTTCCTCACCACCAGTTTATTCTCTGAAAGTGGTTAAATTCTAGAGTGTGCCTGAAAAGCAGTGATGAACCCCGGCCTTTCCTTCTTATCTACAGCTATTATCTGGGATGCAGAAATATAGACAGCCGCTAGATGGTAGCAATGGGTTTATTTTCTGAATCTCTTTGCTCCCATCTAGTGGTCACATGGCTTTCTGCAGCCCAGACCTAGCAGCCCTATTTTACTACTAACCATGGTTTTTGTTTTAGTAAAATGTAAGCTTTCTCACACTTTGCTCAATACTGTGACTTACAAAAAAAAGGTTGGTTTCATTATTATTATTCTAGGCTTGTTCCAAGAAGCTAAGCATAGGATATGCAGTTGCTGTCTCTCTCACTATTTTATCCCTTTAACAGCCTTCTGAGTTATTTAGGCTGACTGTCCAAAACATTCTTCCTGAACTGAGATTTGAATCAACATCTAAAATTGACATTTGAGTCTAGATGGGTCAAAATTCTAATGATTCCAACATATATTGGCCTTTTCCAACATGCAAGTTATTTAAACTAAACAATTCGGCCCAGTTGCAGGAAAGTGTCAATTGCTTTAGGACATAGCAGTACATGACATATTAACCATCTTAAGTACATATATAAGCAGGAAAGCAAGGTATATTATCATCAACAACAACATTGGTATTATGAAGTTAAAAACAAAATATACAAAACATGTTGTACTTTAAAGCAGATTTACATGTATATCTGTTTCCAATGCAAGCTTAAATTTTATATCATTAAAAATGATTATTTGAACAATAGAAGACTCTTTTTCTCTTCCTAATAGAAGGAGGACGTATCAGCAGGACTGGAGAAACCCCAATGCTTGCAAGAGCTAACAGCCTATATACAGATTATGCAAAAATAAATAAATAAATAAATAAATAAATAAATAAATAAATAGGCTGAACTGGATTGTATCAGTTTAGACTGCAGATAGAAAATTAAATTTTGAGAGAGAGAGAGAGAGAGAGAGAGA